AGTTGAACTCAAATTGTTTGTAATTGTGTTTTTGTTAAAATTAAATGTTAAAATTACACTAGTAGGAAATTGTTTTATTTCACTAACTACAAATTCTCTGTTTTCATTTTTTTTTAAATTTTGAAAAGTCAAAACAAAACTGCAAAGTGCAAACATGTGTAAAAGCCAAAAAAAGGCGCACCGGGGGGGGGCAGCCAAAATTTTTTTTGCTTGGGGCAGCAAAAAACCTAGAGCCAGCCCTGGCTGCACCATGAACAGATGTGTGACAAAGCTCTTATTAGGAAATCATAAAGAAACACAACTAGATGTGAACCATTCGCTCTCATGAGAATGGCTCTCAGCCAAAGAGGCTTTTGGCAAGTCACTCAAAGGCCTGTGGTTTCCAACAGCTCCTGTTTCTCCCTCTTTCAGGTTTTCCTTAGCACCAGGCGGGGTGCATGGATACTTGGTCGGATTGGAGAAGAAGGGTACCCCATGGACACAATTTATATCACTCGCTATGTGGAATTCCTCAAGCGCATTGTGCCTCTATGCCTGCTTAACTACTTTTCAGAGAAGAAACTGAATGCAAAATTCAACCATGCAATCTATGGCCTGCAGCCTGCACACAGGTGAGCTGGGGAGATCAGGAGACTTTCTCCAGGCTGTGGAGCCAGGAGTGGAAGGGTCATGTTCATTCTGCCCACACAGACTCCACAGGAGAATGGAGAGCTGGGGTCTGTCAAGCACTGGAGAGAGGGGCAGAGCCTCAGGCCCCATGACAGAATGTAAGATCTCAGGCAAACCTGCAGCTAGAGTCTCTAAGGCCTGGGTTCAATCCCTTGCTGTGCCAGATTCCCCCCAGCCAATCTCTGTCCATCACCTGGGGCCCAGCTCTCATTGCTGCTGCTGCTATGCCAAATCTGTCAGCATTTGCCTCACCTGAGGCCTAGCTCTTATTCCCACTGCTGCCCTCTAAAACATGACTATCCCTTGGGTTAAAAATATCCTTGAGAGATGTAAATACCAAGGAAGGGGAGGAGTTATTTTGTGTGATATATGGGAGTAAACAGAATGGTACTGGATGACATCATTAAGGCCATGTCTTCACTTACAAGCTTACATTGGCACAGATGTACCGATACAGCTGTGCCGCTGTAAGATCACTCATGTAGCCACATTATGCCGATGGGAGAGAGCTCTCCCATTGATATAGTAAAACGAGCTCAACGAGCAGCCGTAACTATGTTGGCAGGAGATGCTCTCCTGCCGACATAGCACTGTGAAACATGAGCGCTTATGCTGACAAGACTTACATTGCTCGGGGTGTTTTTTCACACCCCGAGTGACAAAAGTTTTGCTGACATAGGTGCTAGTGTAGACATGGCCTAAGAAAGAGATAATTTAAGCTGAATACCTGAAAGAACTTGCAAATGGCAAGCTGTTAGACCAGGGAATTGTTTGTTATTATTTATTCATTGATTTGCGGTAGCACCAAGGAGGCCTACTCAAGGACCAGGATCCCATGGTGCAAGATGCTGGACAAACACAGAACAAAAACAGTTTATCAGAGGAAGTGGTGGATGCATAGACTGGACAAAGCAATAGAATTCCTTACATGGAGTGATCCTGCATGTGCAGCAGAATGGACTGAATAACCTGATGTGTCCTTCCCATGACTTCCAGTTGCAGTGCTAGCACATTCTGTGTGGGAGGAAATAGTTCTCTTTTCTCCTGGCAGCTTCCTGCCCTGAGGAAGGTCACCTCCTGCCCAAAGAGATCTTCACATTTCTTGTATTTCCTTTGTGCCATTCAGGTTTTTCAGCCAGCACCCAACCTTCAACGACGACCTGCCAAACCGCATCATCTCGGGCAAGGTGCAGGTAAAACCAAACATCAGAGAGTTCACCGAAACCAGCGCCATCTTTGAAGACGGCACCAGAGAGGAGGACATTGATGTGGTTGTCTTCGCTACGGGATACAGCTTCTCTTTCCCCTTCCTTGGGGATTGTGCCAAAGTGATCAAAAACCAGGTCTCCCTGTATAAATTTGTCTTCCCTCCTCAGCTGGAGAAGCCAACTCTGGCTTTCATTGGCCTCATCCAGCCACTGGGGGCCATCATGCCCATTGCCGAACTCCAGGGTCGTTGGGCGACACGTGTGTTCAAGGGTACGTGAACCAAAATGCAGGAAATAGTCTAGTGCCTGCTGGGCAGAGAAAGCGCAGACATTTCCAAGGAAATCCTACAGCCAGTGCTGTTCAGGTGGACAACCTGCCATCTTGCAACATTTCCGCTGCTCTCCGTCTTTCGTCTGCTGTCTTCCTACTGAAAGGTGCCCTGGTTATGTTCTTTGCTTCTTTGTGACGCATAGAGGCCTGGTTGTTTTTATTTTGGAAGCTTTCTGTGAAAACTGTCACTTCCCCCAAAAAGATCATTTCCAGCTCTGCTCTCCGTGTACTCCTGCACCCTCCCTCTCTGTTGGTGCTGGAGTCTGGCTAGCTTTCTCTTACCCTTTGGCTGCAGTTAGTTTGCACTTTTGCTCACGCCCTCTCCTTTGCTCACCCACTCCCAGCTCCCTGCCTTTCGAATTCCAATGCCCCCCTGAATGTTCAACCTTCCTGGGGGCAGGAGGTGTTGCTGAGGGTTCAAGAGCTGTTACTCTCTAGGGTTTATTTGGGGGCAGGGGAAGAGAGAGGAGGCACAAACAACGCTCTTTTCTCTGAGGCTCTTTATCTTTTCTTTGTTCCTCTTATAGCCCAGTAGCTGTTGCCTCTGTGTCTGAGAGCACCTCATGGATCTCCCTTCTGACTTGGGCTTCTCTTTCCTAGGGCTGAATGGATTGCCTTCAGCAAGCGACATGATGGCCGATATTGCGCAGAAGAGAGAGGAAATGGCAAAAAGGTAGGAACTATTATGTGAATCAGTAACCACTGGGCATGTTGGGAAGGCAGCAGGGCAATCAGCTCCCCACCCACTTCTGCCTATTTCCCTGCTTCACTTTTTGCCTCCCTTTATCCCCATGGGGACCTTTAGCCAACAAACATTGCATTTCATGGACCCATCCTCCAGGTCTCCCAGGGAAGTATGTCTTATCACAAAGAGTGTGTAAGAAGCAGGGTCCTACTGAACCCCAAACAAGGGGAAATGATCTGTGTGAGTACGTTTATCCATCTGCCCCATATATTCTTCCCTTTTTCTTGTTACAGAATTCTATCCCTCACATTCTGCCTTACTGCCACCACCTATTCCTCTCTCTCTCCCTCCTGCATCCCACATTCCCCTGCCTCCCTATATTTTTCCTGACTATTTGATGCCCTTTCAGCACAGAGGCAGCTGTTTTCACTGAGGACACTATGGCTTCCATTGTTCCCAGTGAGATTGGACATGCTGAACCTCTTTACTGGGAGCAGCCTGTACCACTTGAGAAATCTGTAAGGGGAATGGTGGCCATCTTGACTGAGGGCATTCTTTGGCTTCAGTCACACTGAAAATAATGGGAGAAGGCAGATATATTGAATAATGGCAAAAATTGCTCACATCAAACTCTCAATCATGAGGTCATAAAAACGTTTAAACCCCAAATCCTAAGACTATCACGCAACTCATGCTAAATTTTCAAGTGTTGACAACTCTGTGGATGGCTGGGTGTTAATTTCCAGCCCTTTTACTTTGCTGTTAAGCACTCCTCAGTATTGTGTAGCAACTTAACTTTCAGGAGGGTTGGCCCTTCAATTCTACTTAAATACAGAGGGTTGAATAATTTGGGGAAGCTCCAGATAAAGATTTTAAGTAGAAGACAGAGTAAGGTCTGAGGCCACAGTTGCTTTAGAGAATGTATCCAGCTCTTCTAAGGAGAATGAAGTGAAACTCATCCCCATCCCACACACAAGATCAACGTGGCACTTGTGTCCCAATTACGGCCCAAGGGATCTCTGTGCAGGGGTGAATTTCTCTCACAGTCAGTGAACAGAAAGCAGCTCTAATCTTTGTAATGAGTGGAAGTAATCCAACCTCCAAAGGTGCAAAAGTACATCAGCATCTCCTTCTCCTCATATTTCAGAGAGGGATAGAAGCTCCTTATCCCTCAGGAATGTCATTTCCTGGTCAGTGCAGTCTCCATTTGACCACACTCCAGAGACACCTGCACTTCTCTTTCTCATTTCAGGTATGTGAAAAGCCAGCGCTACACCATCCAGACGGATTACATCCCGTACATGGATGAAGTGGCCTGCCTGGCAGGGGTCAAGCCCAAACTCCTGTCTCTCTTCCTCATGGATCCAAAGCTCGCCGTGGAGGTTTTCTTTGGCCCCTGCACCTCATACCAGTATCGCCTGAGAAGGCCAGGAAAGTGGGATGGAGCCAGGAAAACCATCTTGACCCAGAGAGAACGGATCATTAAACCTCTGAAAACTAGAGTCCTAGATGATTATACAGGTGCCTTGGTGCCTTACTACCTTCAGATTTTTCTCATTGTTGCTTTACTTGCTGTAACTTTTGCTTATTTTCCTTGGTCCTTTTTTCCCCTCTGACAAGTGTCATTTTTCAAGCTGCGAGTCCAGTTCATGGTTTCCCTTCTTTTCTTTGCATTCATATGGGCAGACTGGACTATGGTGGGCACCTCTGTTGTCAGCTATCTCAACAAGGTGAGAGCCTGTCTTCTATGTAGGGTAAACTTGCTCTAATGTAGATGCAAAGTCTGCAGTAAGGGTGCACAAGGCCTGTTAAGTCCCATTCAAGCCCTGTTTTTGAACCCCACAACAAGTGATATAATAAGAGAAATCCCCAACCATTTCCAAAGTCTCCACTAGCCTGGTTCAGGCAGTGTGACTGAAGATCGAGGGGCAGCTGGCATCACTGCTGGCAGCTTCATAGTTGGCTGGTTGGTGTACCTGGTGAATCGAGCCATTGCTGATCCCCAGCCTCAAGTGCAGGAGGAGCTTGTGGGCTCTGTTGTCTTCTAACTCTTATGCTTGCCGCAGCTTCTGGGTGCTTAAGCTTCCTGGATCAGAGCAGGGCTCCAAGTCAATTTCAAACCTCTGACTGAGAGAGCCAGAAAATGGCTTCCTCTCCATGTAGCTGAGAAAAACAACTCCCCCTCAGCTGCTCTCTTGGGTCCCATGGTCCCTTCACAGACCAACCCAGGGCCCAGTCTGTCCATCACTGTTGTGTGTGCGCTCTCCAGCAGGCAGGCAAGCTCAGTCGCTATGCTGTGCTTCTCCCTAGGGGAGGTGCATCTACAGTCCCACGCTGGCAGGGGCTACAAGTCACTTTAGGGTGGAATTAGGGACAAGGGTGTCATGGAAGGCAGCAGCCCTCGGGCCCTGGGGGAGCAGGGGAAGCTCTTGGAGCCTGGCCTGAGTTAGGGCTGGATAAGGACTCAGCGCTTCTCACACGGAAGAGATAGAGCCCTGAGTAGAGGGAAGGGTCTGAGCTCTATAGACCACAGAATCCCTGTCTAGGAAGGACTTTGGCTCAGAGTAGGTTTGTCCCAGCAGCACACAGCGATTCAAGCGAAGCTAAAGCAAAAGTCTCACTGCTATTGTTATCTGGATCTGTTAATTGTGTTTAATTTGGTCGGTCTGCTTTTCTGAACGCACTCCCATTACTTCAGCCTGACCAAGTAAACCTCTGTTTATGTGTGATCCTTGCATGTGTCCTTCCTAGGGAAGCCCATAAAGTGTTGGGCTGTAATAGTTGGTGTGCCTACAATGCTTGTCATGTGGTGCTCACAGCTACCAACCATATACTTTGTGTGTGATGGCTCATGCAAACCCTCGTTCACGCCTATCTGGGACAAAGGGATGATAAGAGTCTGAAATTTTTTGAGGAAACAAAGTGGCTCATCGACATCATCAAACATGCTTAGTCTACTAAGGACCATTGCCAGCCAGAGTGATCTCAGTAGATGGTGTCATACCAGGTGTTGTGAGGTTCCCAGCTCAGGCACAATCCTGTCAATCGCTGGGGCTGCCCCAGGGGCGGCACCAGTTAGGGGCAGGGCATGCATCCCTTGGCACAGCAATGGAGAGCAAGGGAAGCTTTTGTCCATCCTGGCAACATGATGCATGCAATGCTGCTTTCAAATATAATGAGCAACTAAAGAAAAGACAGATCTTTGTGAAATTGTGCCATTTCCCACAAAGTCAAACCACTTTATGCTCAGGCTGAGGCTCAAATAAGAACATCTGTATTTTTTGACCTTTTTGATAAATGATCTTCACAAAGACACCTTGAAACCCACTCAGAAGCCCAAGCCTTTGAAGTTCCTGGTTTCATTCCTCTTCAACTATCTTGTCCCAGATTGATACAAAGTACAAGTGTGAGAATTGTGGGAATATTCTTATGAACAATAGGTGTGACTCAACTTACTCAATCATTTTGCATTGCTTCCCCCTGAGTATGAAGGGGTTAATTTCTCCCTGGGGACAAAGGAGTGAGTTGGTTGTAGATCACATAAGCCTGCCTAGAACTGATTGGAATCAACACAGGTGAATGGAGGTCCCAGGAGAGTCAACAGAAGCCCCAACAACTGAACATTAACTTTCAATGGCTGGCCACCAAGGAACCTGAACATATGACCACAGCACAGCTGCTTCTGGAGCCACAGGGGCCAGGTGTTAACAGAGTGTGTCTTAAGTTTGCTGCTGCCCAGGACAGACACACATGACACAGAGAGGCTGAAAGAGACTCCAGGAGGCCCTGGAACAGTAGGGCAATTGCTTTGGCCAATACATACTTGGACTTAAACTTTGCTTTACCATTCTAATGTGGACTCTTAATTGATGTTCTCCAGTTGACTAATAAATGCTTTCTTGGTTTTGGTAAAAGGCGGCCCTGCAGATAATTACTAGCTATATTGCTGCCTGAAGGTGTAACATTTCTAACAAGTGTCTGAACTCTTTTGGACTCACTAGCGAGCCAGGGTGAGAAACAAGAATGCTGTAGCCTTAAGTCTCAGGGTCATGGGATTGTCCTTATAAAAAGCTGTGGCTAGGGCCCAGCGAATAATAGGGATACTCCCACAGAGACTGTATAACAGCTGAAGCATCGAATCCCCTGTAAACCCATGACTATAAACTAGGCCAGGCCTCAAGGGTGAGATGACATCCCTGTCAGGGACCTGATTAAAAAAAAATCTGCTAGGAAGGGTCTTAGGCCAGGTCTACAGTAAAAAGTATACATCGGCATAGCTATATCTCTCAGGGTGTGAAAAATCCACCCCCCCTGAGCAATGCAGCTATGCTGCTCTAAGCCCTGATGTAGACACCACCTGTCAGGGAGATGGACTAACCACAGTGATGGAAGAACCACTCCCAATGCTGTGGTGAGTGGCTACACTGAAGTGCTATAGCAGCCCAGCTATAACTATGCCACTGAAGCAGTTAAGTGTAGACAGCCTGAGTCAGAAAAGAATTCAGCACCATTTGATAGAAAGCGTGTGTGCATGTCTGAGTGGGGAGTGCATGTCTTTAAGATGCCATGTTGAACCAGCTATTGTTGACATTCCTTTGTAACCAGCTCTATATCTCCTTTTCCTCAGAATTGGATGGCTAGTTAATCAGCTTTGTCAGTGCCCATAGGCGCCAACTTTCTCCAGCACCAGTGGAAAGGGGCGCCCCCCTGCCTCAGCCCCGTCCCCACCCTTTCCCCGCCCCTGTCCCCGTCCCCATCCCAACCCCCTCCCCAAAGTCTCCGCCCCTCCCTGCCCCTATTGGATCCCTTCCCCAAATCCCCGCCCCGGCCCCACCTCTTCCCCCAGCGCGCCGCGTTCCCCTTCCTCCCCGCCCCACGAATCAGCTGTTTCGTGGCGCAAGCGCTGGGAGGGAGGGGGGAGAAGCAGGACGCGGTGGTAAGCTGGAGCAGGTGGGGCGGGGCAGCCCACCAATTTTTTTCCGTGGGTGCTCCAGCCCAGGAGCACCCACGGAGTCGGCGCCTATGTCAGTGCCCATCTGTGGTAAGCACTATCTGGCTGGCAGAGGCTTGATCCAGATCCAAGAGTTTAATGTGGGTAGGCCATGGGGAAACAACAGGAGGAGATGCCAGAGTGAGTGACTTTCCCTATATTGCTACACAGGTTCACACTTTGAGGGTCTTACTGGGTCCTCAGCTCCATCTGGATACACACATAGCAGCAGTGGCCAGGAGCTCTCTTCCATCTGTGACTGTCCTGGAGGTTGAGACCATAAGTCTTATATGCAAACCTTGCCACACACTTCTTCCTCCAGAATTGGTTACTGCCATGAACTTTTCTTGGGGATTGCACTTGAAGATCACTCATACTTCACCTTTTCCAGAAGGGTCCATTTAGTGGAACTTCTCACAGACCACAGATTATGGTTGATTTCCAAGTGCACATCAAAGTGTTCACAGCTCAAAACAGAGCTCCTCTTTGGGCGGCTGGCTGCCTCGGAGTGTGAGTCTGAGGACCTGGAGCTGATGGGGTGCTGTTCTCAGGCAGGTTTCCCCCGTGTTAGAATACATGGCTCCCTGCCGGGGGTGGCAGAGGGCGACACTGTTGACCTACAGGGCACACTACTGTTGCCAGCACAGAGTGCCCGAGGCAAGGCAACTGTTAGGTTCGTGGCCCGGTGTGCTTCGTGCCAATAAACACACCAGGTGGAGAAGCAAACAAAGTTTATTTGAGATCTCAAAGCGGTGCAAGGAGACTGGCACGTCTCAAATCAAGCACACTAACAGAAACAGTTTTTTTTCCTTTATACCTTTACAGTCAAGCCTCACCCACCCCTTCCCCCGCTACCCCTCCCTTCCCTCCCCTCCATTCCTCTCTCTTCACCCCTCCCGTCCCTGGTAACAATTACTAAGCAAATAGCAATTACATTTAAGCAGTTAGTTTATGTTGGCAGCTATAAGTTCAGCTCGTTAGTAACACTTCTTGAACTACTATCTTGTCCCGTTCCTTTGATTTCCTTCGGCCAGAGGTATGCAGGCCTCATTATACTGCAAAGGGGGGTTTACCACTGATATCAAGCTGCTTACACATTTCACTTGCACCTGGCTTTTGAGGTCGATTAGAGTTTAAACATGGAAGGAGTTTGGTTCAGGCCTAGTGCAGGAAGGCTTCATTGACACTTGTGATTTTCCACCCTCCTGAGTCACCTGGGGTGATGGTGATGCCTGGTGACGTCAACACTACCAAACCTATTTTCTCACGCTCTTCCCAGTGGGGGCCGGGGGTTGAAGAGAGAGGAAGGCTCAGCTGTGGGGACGATGCCCTGAAGTGCTCAGTGGTGCTGGGGACTGTGAACTGTAGCAGCGCACAGCGTCTAGGGCCCAAAGGGATGACGGCCACCATCTAGTCGGACCTGTACGGCACAGGCCAGAGAGCGTCCCCAAGACAATGGCTAGCGCCAATTGGCCAGAGAAACACCGTCCCCCGGCTGTCCTGAGAGCCGGGCTGGTGATTCCAGGGTAGCCCTGAGGAAGCAGGTCAGTGGGGGTGCGGACAGGGGGTCTGCGCCCTCACACCTGGCCCACAGAGCCCTGACCTGAATGCCAAACTCTTCCCTTAACCGCAATGGCCGCCCTCGCCCGTTAGTCACCTCACCCATTATTTTCAATAGGGGTGAAGCCAAGTTGCCCTCGGTTAAGATGGCCGCGCTTTCCCGCGAGCGTCTCCGAGGTACACGGCGGCCGCCCCCGCCCTAGTAAAGATGGCTGCCATCTGCCAGGGTTTGCAATGTGACTGAAGCCGCAAAGAAGATGGCGGCTGCCCCGAGGGGCGGCCCACGAAAGTCTTTCCCCTCCAGCGCCGCCCTAGGGCTATAGCCCAGACCGCCCCGGAGGGGGGCGGGGGTGCACCGTCACGCCCTGCTCTCCCCGTCCTCATAGAGCCATAGAGATGCCCCGCCCGCGCCGCTTCCTGGAACGGACGCTCTATCTGCGCGGGCGGGGGTCCAAGGTTATCGGCTTAGAGCCGAGCCGCGCTTCCTCCCCGGCCATAGAGGAGCTGGCGGAGTCGGACAGAGCGTCTCCCAGCGCGGCCATAGAGTGGCTGCCGGCCGTCGCCGGCTCGGGGGCATCTCGCCATTTTAGAGGAGAGAGGCGGAGAGCGGGGCGGAGGCCGAGCTGAGACCAGGTACTGGGGGAACTGGGCCCCTGGGGGTGTCTGCGGCGGCCGCGGAGCCTGGGGCCGGGCCGGCGCCCCGTTGGCGTTAGCGGGCGGCTGTGAAGCTGCTGTGCCCGGGGGTAGGTGGAAGAGTCCCCCCGCCCCGCCTGCCCTCCCCATGTTGGTGGGGTGGGAACAGGCCCCCGGGGTGTCACATTGCAGACAGGTGCGGGTTAGTTCCTTAGGCGCAGGTGGGGGAGACGCCCCTCACCTCCCTGGTGGCCAGGCCTGGAGGAGGGAGGTTGGCTTGGTTGATGAAGCGCTGACCTGGGATATGATAAAAATCAATTCCCTGCTCTACTACAGACTGGGTGTATGATCTCGGGCGTCCTTCAGTCTCTCTGGTCCTCCGTGCCCCACCTGCAATTACCTTTCCTCACCTCACAGGGGGATAAGCTCATTAATAACAATCCTTAGCCTTTATGTAGCATTCTTCACCTCAAAGCACTTTACAAAAGTGGTCAGTAGCTTTTACAGATGGGGAAACTGAGGCAAAGAGTGGGCAAGCGACTTGCTCAAGGTCACCCAGCAGGCCTTTGGCAGAACTGCAACTTGAACCCAGGTCTCCTGAGTGCTTGTGCTGCTTAGATACTAGTGTGATGGGGGTCGTATAAGCAGGTAAATGGAAGGAAGCTCCTCCATCTATAGAGGGTAAAGGGGCA